AGTGGTTTGCCACCCCTCAAAAGTGGCGTGCGAGTTGTTTGCCACCTCCCAGAGTGGCGTGCGAGTGTTTTTCCACCCCTCGAAACTGGCGTGCGAGTGGTTTGCCAACCACCTGAAGAGTAGCATGCGAGTGGTTTGCCACCCACCAAAGTAGCGTTCGAGTTGTTTGCCAACCCCACGAGTGGGATGCAAGTGGCTTGCCACCCCCCAGAGTGGCGTGTGAGTGGTTTGCCACCCCCCAAGAGGCGTGCGAATGGTTTGCCACCCCCAGAGTGGCTTGGGAGTGATTTCCCACCACCCCGAGTGGTGTGCGAGTGGTTTGCCACCCCCCTAAGATTGGCGTGCGAGTGGTTTGCCACCCCCCAGAGTGGCATGCGAGTGGTTTGCCACCCGCTGAGAGTGGCGTGTGAGTGATTTGCCACCCCCCGAGGGTGGCATGCTAGGGGTTTTTCCACCGCCCCGATTGGCGTGCGAGTGAATTGCCACCCCCCAGTGTGGCGTGTGAGTTGTTTGCCACCCCTCGAGAGTGGTGCGCGAGTGGTTTGCCACCCCTTGATAGTGGCATGGGAATGGTTTGCCACCCCCCAAAGTTGCTTGGGACTGGTTTGCCACCCCCCAGAGTGGCGGCAAGTGGTTTGCCACTCCCAAGAGTGGCATGCGAGTGGTTTGCCAACCCTCGAGAGTGGCTTGAGAGTGGTTTGCCACCCTCCGAGATTGGCGTGCAAATGTTTTGCCACCCCCCAAGAGAGGCTTGGGAGTTGTTTTCCACCCAACCGAGTTGCGTGCAACTCGTTTGCCACCCACCGAAAGTGGCATGCGAGTGGTTTGCTATCCCCCCGAGTGGCGTTCGAGTGGTTTGCCACCCTCCAGGTTTGGCGTGCGAGTGGTTTACCACCCTACAAGAGTGGCGTGCGAATAGTTTGCCACCCCCCGAGAGTGGCGTGCGAATGGTTTGCCACCCCGCAGAGTGGCTTGGGAGTGGTTTGCAACCCCCCCGAGTGGTGTGCGAGTGGTTTGCCACCCCCCCGAGGGTGGCGTGCGAGTGGTTTTGCACCCCCCTGATTGGCGTGCGAGTGGTTTGCCACCCTCCAAGATTGGCGTGCGAGCGGTTTGCCACCCTCCAAAAGTGGCGTGCGAATAGTTTGCCACCTCCCCATAGTGGCGTGCGAATGGTTTGCCACCCCTCAGAAAGGCTTGGGAGTGGATTGCCACCCCCACGAGTGGCGTGCGACTCCTTTGCCACCTACCGAGAGTGGCGTGCGAGTGCTTTGCCATCCCCCCATGTGGAATTCGAGTGGTTTGCCACCCTCTAAGATTGGCGTCCGAGTGGTTTGCCACCCTCAAAGAGTAGTGTGCGAATAGTTTGCCACCCCGCAGTGTGACGTGCGAGTGGTTTGCCATCCCGCAATGTGACGTGCGAGTGGTTTGCCACCCTCCAAGAGTTGCGTGCGAGAGGTTTGCCACCCCCAAAAGTGGCGTGCGAGAGGTTTGCCACCCCCCAAAGTGGTGTGGGAGTGGTTTGCCACACTGCAAGACTGGCGTGCGAATGGTTTGCCACCCCTCAGAGAGGCTTGGGAGTGGTTTGCCACCCCCGCGAGTGGCGTGCGAATGGTTTGCCAACCACTGAAAGTGGCGTGTGACTGGTTTGCCACCGACTGAAAGTGGCGTGCCAGTGTTTTGCCACCCCCCCGAGTTGTGTGCGAGTAGTTTGCCACCCTCCAAGGTTGGCGTGCAAGTTGTTTCCCACCCTCCAAGAGTGGCGTGCGAGTGTTTTGCCACCCCGCAGTGTGATGTGCGAGTTGTTTGCCACCCCGCAGTGTGACGTGCAAGTGGTTTGCCACCCCTCAGAGTGGCTTGGGAGTGGTTTGGCACCCCCTGACAGTGGTGTGCGAGTGGTTTGCCAACCCCCAGAGTGGCTTGGGAGTGGTGTGCCACCCCACCGAGTGGTGTGCGAGTGGTTTGCCACCCCTCAAAAGTGGCGTGCGAGTTGTTTGCCACCTCCCAGAGTGGCGTGCGAGTCGTTTTCCACCCCTCGAAAGTGGCGTGCAAGTGGTTTGCCACCCCCCATAAGAGTAGCGCGGGATTGGTTTGCCACCCACCAAAGTGGCGTGCGAGTTGTTTGCCACCCCCACGAGTGGGGTGCAAGTGGTTTGCCAACCCCTAGAGTGGCGTGTGAGTGGTTTGCCACCCCCCGAGAGTGGCGTGCGATTGGTTTGCCACCCCCTAGAGTGGCTTGGGAGTGGTTTGCCACCTCCCCGAGTGGTGTGCGAGTGGTTTGCCACCCCTCCCGAGAGTGGCGTGCGAGTGGTTTCCCACCCCCATGATTGGCATGCGAGTGGTTTGCCAACCACCAGAGTGGCATGCGAGTGGTTTGCTCCCCCTTGAGAGTTGCGTGCGAGTGGTTTGCCACCCCCCGAGGGTGGCATGCGAGTGGTTTGCCATCCCCCCGATTGGCGTGCGAGTGGTTTGCCACGCCCTAGAGTGGCGTACAAGTGGTTTGCCACCCCCCGAGAGTGGCGCGCGAGTGGTTTGCCACCCCCTGATAGTGGTTTGCGAATGTTTTGCCACCACCCAGAGTGGCTTGGGAGTGGTTTGCCACCCCCTAGAGCGTTGTGCGAGGGGTTTGCCACTCCCCAGAATGGCATGCGAGTGTTGTGTAAACCCCCGAGAGTGGCGTGGGAGTAGTTTGCCACCCTCCGAGAGTGCCGTGCGAATGGTTTGCCACCCCTCAGAGAGGCTTGGGAGTGGTTTGCCACCCCCCCCAAATGGCGTGCGACTGGTTTGCCACCCACCGAGAGTGGCGTGTGAGTGGTTTGCCATCCCCCCGAGTGGCATTTGAGTGGTTTGCCACCCTCCAAGATTGGCGTGCAAGCTGTTTGCCACCTTGCAATGTGACGTGCGAATGGTTTTTCACCCCCTGAGAGTGGTGTGCGAATGATTTGCCACCCTCCAGAATGGCTTGGGAGTGGTTTGCCACCCCTCCGAGTGGCGTGCGATTTGTTTGCCACCCCCTGGAGTGGCGTGCAAGAGGTTTGCCACCCCTCAATGTGGTGTGCGAGTGGTTTGCCACCCCCCGAGAGTGGCATGCGAGTGGTTTGCCACCCCCTGAGAATAGCGTGCGAGTGGTTTGCCACCCCCTGAGAGTGGCGTGCGAGTGGTTTGCCACCCCCTGAGAGTGGCATGCGAGTGGTTTGCCACCTCCCAAGAGTGGCGTGCGAGTGGTTTGCCACCCCCCAGAAGAGTGGCATGCGAGCGGTTTCCCACCCACCAAAGTGGCATGCGAGTTGTTTGCCACCCCCATTAGTGGGGTGCGAGTGGTTTGCCACCCCCCGAGTGGTGTGCGAGTGGTTTGCCACCCCCCGAGAGTGGCGTGCGAGTGGTTTCCCATCCCCCCGACTGGCATGCGAGTGGTTTGCCACCCCCCAGAGTCGCATGCGAGTGGTTTGCCACCCCCTGAGAGTGGCGTGCCAGTGGTTTGCCACCCTCCGAAGGTGGGATGCGAGAGGTTTGCCAGCCCCCAGATTGGCGTGCGAGTGGGTTGCCACCCCCCAGAAGAGTGGCGTGCGAGTGGTTTGCTACCCACCAAAGTGGCGTGCGAGTTGTTTGCCACCGCCTGATAGTGGGATGCGAATGGTTTGCCACCCCCCATAGTGGCTTGGGAGTGGTTTGCCACCCACCAGAGTGGCGTGCGAGTGGTTTTCCACTCCCCAGAGTGGCATGCGAGTGGTTTGCCACCCACCGAGGTTGGCATGCAAGTGGTTTGCCACCCCCCCTATTGGCGTGCGAGTAGTTTGCCACCCCCCTGAGTGGCGTGCGAGTGGTTTGCCACCCTCCGAGAGTGGTGCGTGAGTGGTTTGCCACCACCTGATAGTGGCATGCAAATGGTTTGCCACCCCCAAGAGTTGCTTGGGAGTGGTTTGCCACCCCCCAAAGTGGCGTGCAAGTGGTTTGCCACCCCCCAGAGTGGCAGGGGAGTGGTTTGCCAACCCCCGAGAGTGGCGTGGGAGTGGTTTGCCACCCTCCGAGAGTGGCGTGCGAAGGGTTTGCCACCCCTCTGAGAGGCTTGCAAGTGGTTTGCCACCCCCCCGAGTGGCGTGCAACTGGTTTGCCACCCCCCAGAGTGGCATGCGAGTGGTTTGCCACCCCCTGAGAGTGGCGTGCGAGTGGTTTGCCACCCTCCGAGGATGGCATGCAAGTGGTTTGCCACCCCCCTGATTGGCGTGCGAGTGGTTTGCCACCCCCCAGAGTGGAGTGCGATTGGTTTGCCACCCCCCAGAGTGTCGTGCAACTCGTTTGCCACCCACTAAGAGTGGCGTGCGAGTTGTTTGCCCTCCCCCGAGTGGTGTTCGAGTGGTTTGCCACCCTCCAAGATTGGCGTGCGAGTGGTTTGCCACCCTCCAAGAGTGGCATGGGAATAGTTTGCCACCCCGCAGTGTGACGTGCGAGTGGTTTGCCACCCCGCAGTGTGACGTGCGAGTGGTTTTTCACCCCCCGAGAGTAGCGTGCGAATGGTTTGCCACCCTCCAGAGTGGCTCAGGAGTGGTTTGCCACCCCCTCGAGTGGCGTGCGATTTGTTTTCCACCCCTGAAGTGGCATGCGAGTGGTTTGCTACCCCCCCGAGTGGCGTGTGAGAGGTTTGCCACCCCTCCAGAGTGGCGTGCGAGTAGTTTGCCACCCCCCGAGAGTGGCATGCGAGTGGTTTTCCACCCCCAAAGAGTGGCGTGCAAGTTGTTAGCCACCCCCCAGAAGAGTGGCGTGCGAGTGGTTTGCCACCCACCAAAGTGGCGTGCGAGTTGTTTGCCACCCCCACGAGTGGGGTGCGAGTGGTTTGCCACTCCTCAGAGTGGCGTGTGAGTGGTTTGCCACCCCTCAAGAGTGGCGTGCGAATGGTTTGCCAACCACGAGACTGGCTTGGGAGTGGTTTGCCACCCCCTCGAGTGGTGTGCGAGTGGTTTGTGTTGTGTGATGTCATCATATGCTATCACATTCTGTCTGCCTCCCATCCCTTGTTTCAATTCGCATGTATGGTTTGACTGTGTGTGAAAGAATTTGTGTGGTGTGTTCTGGAGTTTGGGAATGTGTTTTGTGTTATTCTGTCTGAGCAGGTATTTGTGATGATAGATCTTGAGAAGATCTTTCCGACGCAACAAGAATCGATTCAATCGGAGCAAGAACGCGAAAGCTATGAAGATTCAAAGTTCATGAGCTTGCGTTACAATTGCGGCGGTTACAAAGTGAAGTTGTGGGGTGACTTTATATGGAGTTGGGACCTTTGGGGGTTGGGGAAATTTGTCACTCTACTGTAACAGCTGCAAATTGGTTGGGAACAACCAAGCTAGGTTGGCAAGGGTGGCCAACTTGGATGGATTGGTTGGGAAGGGACAAATGTCAAAATTGGGGTTCCTATAGGGAGGGAATCTTTGTGCTTATGGGGTTTCCTTGGTTGGGGACTCTCTTGGGACCTTCCCTCTCATCCCTCTCTTTCTATCCCAACCTTTCTCTTGCTCCTCTAATTTTTCCTTGAGAGATTCTTGAACTTTGATTGAACTCTTGAGATTGAGTTAAGTTCTCCTCCTACAGCTTACCCCCTAGTGCGTCGAAAGCCATAGCGTCGCGAATACTTCATCAATCAACATGATTCAATTTGGGAACGGTAGCTGAGCTTACGATCTACAACATATCCGAGTTTCGCGATATTCCAACGGCTAGTTTTTTGTCGACGTCGTTTCTTGTGAGGACGACTTTTCTGTCCAGAATTTCGGATTTATATTTTGAGTAATTCTAGCTCCTAAGTTCACCTAGACTTCGTCCTTAATCCTAACAAGTGGTATCAGAGCCATATTGAGGACATTGAGAGGAGTCTACAGAAGTGTGAAGACCCTTTTAGACCCACCATGGCCTGTGGGCGTGCCTAAGTGGTGTTCTAAAGGTTGGATGTGACTTCCGCTAAGGGGAAACTCTGCCGAAATTTCGTGGACGCCGACACTTGTGAAAATATCGAGGGAGCTGAGTCTGGACAGCAAAGGGGGAGCTGAAATTCGTCATTTCTCAAGGAGAAGATGAATGAGAGAGGAGGAGATGCTAATGGAAGAGGAGCTGTACCTGAGAAGACAAGTGAGCCGCCACCATCAAAAGTTGAAGCTTTGGATGGCTCCAACTATGAGGAATGGAGCGGGCGCATGAGGAGTGCCTTCAAACGCTACAAGCTACTGAAGATTGCTGTTGGGGAGGAGAAGATGCCGGAAGAAGGCGAAGAACGCGAACGGTGGATTGAGAAAAGCACGGTGCTTTTCGACCTCATCCTTCAATCGGTCAACAATGAGATGTTCGAGCACATCAAGGATCTTGTGGAAGCGGATGATTCGGGTCCAAGGGCGTGGAAACTACTACGCGATGTGATTCAGCCCAACACTCTTCCGATGGTGATCGTGCTCGAGAAGGAACTTGCTGCAATCTCCATGCGACCAGGGGATGATGTGAAGCTGATCCTTGACAAGATCAAGGACACCTATGCAAGGATGGCAGCAGCGGGCAGCAGCGTTTCTCAGCTGCAGCAGTGCACCAAGATCATCTCGGTGTTGGATAACTCGTGGGACAACCTCATCCCCACCCTCAACTCTCAGCAAGATCAATGGACACCTGAGTGGCTAAGGCAGCAGATTCTGCAGGAGGACTTCCGCAGACGCCATGTGGGAGGTGGTGCTTCCACTAAGACTGCTGAGGGGTATGGAGCTGCAGGGCGCGGCAGAGGAAGAGGGGGTTGGAGAGGCCGAGGCCGTGGGAGGAGCTTTGGCAGAGGTAGTGGCCGAGGTGACTATAATGAGGGGCATGGGAGCTCTAGTGGCAAGGGGAGTACCAGAATGGAGGGCACCTGCTGGTACTGCAAGAAGGTCGGGCATCCTTGGTTTAAGTGCTTCAGCAGGCCGGAGGGATGGGCACCTCCAGGCATGAAGCCGCCCAGTGGTGAACGCGCACAAGGTGGCGCTGTGCAAGGCTCAGGTGCACAAGGTGAAGGTGCACAAGGTAATGCCTATCCTGGGATGTTTCTCATGGTTGAGGATGTGCATGGGCATGAGGGTGATGTGGGATCTGTGGGAAAGGTTGTGATGCACCCTCTCACGCACTGGGTGATTGATTCGGGTTGCACCAGTCACATGACCCCACGGGCAGATTTGCTTGATGAGGTAAAACCCCCTGGGAAGATCAAGTATGTGGCAGCAGCGTCAGGTGCTTTGCTCCCTGTCATTGGTGTTGGAAATGCCAAGGTTAAGGGAGCTAATGGGGAGCTTGTGGGGCTTGGGAATGTTCTGCTGGTTGAAGGCTTGTCTGCTAACCTTCTCTCTGTGCGACGACTGCAGAAGAGCAAGGCCGAAGTGACCTTTGGACGAACCAGCTGCCGTGCTAAGCTTGGGAAGAAGGTGCTGTGGAGTCTGGAAGAGGAGACCAGCTGCATCAAGGACCTGTGGCAGCTGCCCATCATCCCATGGAATGGGAAGACTCCAACAGCAGCAACGGCAGCAGCGGCAAAGGCAACAGCAGGAGGAGATGCAACTGCACCAACTGATGGGGTCCTGGAAGCAGTCAAGAAAGTGCAGCAGCAGCAGACACATGGTGAGGTGCTTGCTGGTGTGGATGCGAGTGCGGCATGGGCTAAGGCTTCATCAAGGAGTGGAGAGGCCGATTGGGAGACATGGCATGAGAGGCTGTGTCATGTGAACTTCCCTATGCTGCAGAAGTTGGTGAAGGATGGGAGCCTGAAGGGCTTGGAGGTGAAAGGGGGAGTGAAGGAGATTGGGAGCTGCCCTACATGCTTGGAGACCAAGTTCTCCAAGTTCCCCTTCAACAGCACTACAGGACCAGCCAAGACCCCACTTGCACTTGTGCACATGGATGTGGTGGGGCCCACAAGAGCCCCTTCCCTCTCAGGCAGCCGCTATTTCTTGACAATTGTGGATGACCACACTCGGGCAGTGTGGGTTTACCCTTTGAAGAGCAAGGGGGAGGTGGCAGCGGCTGTCCTTAAGGAGTGGATGCCTAGAGCTCAGAGGGAATGCGGACACAAGGTGAAGGTGATCCGCAGTGACAATGGTGGGGAGTTCATTGGAGCTGATTTTGAGGGGGAGTTGAAGAGGAAGGGGATCCAACATCAACTGACAGTGCCCTACAACCCGCAGCAGAATGGCGTGGCTGAGAGGTTCAACAGGACCCTGCAGGAGGGGGCACGCACTCTCCTTGGGCGTGCAGGGCTGCCTGATCCGTTTTGGGTGTCTGCACTGAGGCAGGTCGCCCTTGTGAAGAACAGGGTGCTGGCTACAGTTGGAGATAAGGAGTGGATCCCATATACCAAGTGGTATGGGAGTGCTCCAGCTGTGAACATGCTGAGGGCATTTGGGTGCATGGTGGTGTTTCATGTGCCTAAGGAGAAAAGGGGGAAGTTGGAGGCTTCTAGAAGATGGGGTGTGCACTTAGGGATTGCAAAGGATCACAAGGGGTGGCTGCTATGGGACTTGACCACCCAGAAGTTGACAGTGTCAAGGGATGTGAAGTTTCTTGAGTCCCTGTACTACAAGGAATGGAAGCAGCAGCAACAGAAGCTTCCATCTACACCGCTCATTGTGGAGGCAGATGAGGTGCAGCAGCCTTCAAGACAGGTGGAGGTTGCAGTGTCAGAGGAGGAGATGTCTGGGGTGACTGAGGAAGGGGGAGCAGCTGAAGTGGAGCAGCAGCAGCAGCAGGAGCAGCAGCAGCAGCATGAGTCTCCACCTCGAGTTCCACACCCGCCTGAGCGACCTAGGAGGGATGTGCGCCCTCCGGTGAGGCTAACCTATGGGGGAAGAGGCAAGCCGAATGTGGTGCAGGCTGGGAGTGTGGTTGAGCAGATTGAGGAAGATGAGATCGCTCACTGCTACTGGGCACCAATCCCTGAGCCCAAGACTCGAGAGGAGGCTTTGAATGGACCAAATGGGGAGAAGTGGAAGGCGAGTGAGGATGAGGAGTTCGAGTCCCTAATTGAGAACGAGACATGGGACCTGTGTGACTTGCCTCCTGGAAAGAAGGCAATCACTTCCAAGATGATCTACAGGCACAAGTATGGACCTGAAGGGGAGCTGATCCGCTACAAGTCTAGGCTTGTGGCACGGGGGTTTCAGCAGACAAAGGGGAAGGACTATGATGAGGTGTTTGCTCCTGTGGGGAAAGGAACAACACTGAGGGTGCTGTTGGCGATAGCTGCACTCCTGGGATGGAAGATTCGGCAGATGGATATTGTGACTGCCTTTCTGAATGGGATCATTATGGAGGAGGTGTACATGAAGCAGCCAGAGGGGCTGGATGACGGGAGCGGCAGGGTCTGCGGCTGAAGAAGGCCATCTATGGCCTTAAGCAGGCGCCTCGTGCATGGTATCACAAGTTGGAGGAGGCGCTGTTGGCTGGGGGTTTCAAGAAGAGTGAGTGTGACCCCAGCCTGTTCCTGCTGCAGGAGAAGGATGAAATCCTCATGCTCTTGGTGTATGTGGATGATATCCTTCTCTTTTCTGCATCCACTGCTTTGCTGGACAGCGCAGAGCAGATGCTGGAGATGCAGTTCAAGTGCTCCAAGATGGGTGAGGTGAAGTACTACTTGGGGATGCACGTGGAGAGAGATGTGGAAAAGGGTGTGCTGAGGTTGCACCAGAGGAAGTACTGTGAGGGGCTGGCTGAGAAGTATGGGCTGCAAGATGGGGGAAAGCCAGCAACACCACTACCTTCAGGGTTTACTGTGGAGCCATGTGCTGATGAGGAGGTAGTGGGTGAGAGTGACAGGAAGCTGTTTCATTCGATGGTTGGGTTGCTGAATTATGCTGCAAATCATACACGGCCTGACATTGCATTTTCTACATCACGGTTGGCTAGTGTGGTCTCACGCCCTAGTCATGAGCAGCTGGAAGCGGCCAAGAGGTTGGTCCGCTATGTGAGTGCTACGGCATCAGTGGGATTGGAGTACAGTGGAGTGAGGCAGCGGTTGCAGAGAGGTGCTGCAGATGTGAAGAGTGGAGAGATGCTCTTGAGTTGCTATACTGACGCTAGCTTCAACTCAGTGAAAGCGGATGGCACCAGCATTGTGGGTTATGTGTGCTTGCTAGGAGGTGGTGCTGTGAGCTGGCGCAGCAAGAAGCAGAATGAGGTGGGATTGTCCTCATGTGAGACTGAGTACATGGCCTTACACCATGGGGCCAAGGAAGTAGTGTGGCTAAGGCGTTTGTTGGAGGAGTTGGGAGTTGGTCAGGAGAAGCCGACAGTTGTGTTTTGTGACAATGAGTCCGCTGTGAAGCTCGCCAAAAATGCTTGTCTGCATGGGCTGACAAAACACATAAGGCCTAAGTGGCATTGGGTGAGGAGACTCCTTGATAAGGAGGTGCGGCTGGAGATAGTGAAGACCCATCAGCAGGCAGCAGATATTTTCACCAAGCGTCTGGCGGAGGCGGATCATTGGAAGGGCATGAAGCTTGCTGGGATGAGTGTGCATTGAGTATGCATGCTTGAGATGTTGGTATGGTGGATGATGGTTGGCAGCCAGAGGGGGAGATTGTTGTGTGATGTTATCATATGCTATCACATTCTGTCTTCCTCCCATCCCTTGTTTCAATTCGCATGTATGGTTTGACTGTGTGTGAAAGAATTTGTGTGGTGTGTTCTGGAGTTTGGGAATGTGTTTTGTGTTATTCTGTTTGAGCAGGTATTTGCGATGATAGATCTTGAGAAGATCTTTCTGAGGCAACAAGAATCGCTTCAATCGGAGCAAGAACGCGAAAGCTATGAAGATTCAAAGTTCATGAGCTTGCGTTACAATTGCGGCGGTTACAAAGTGAAGTTGTGGGGTGACTTTATATGGAGTTGGGACCTTTGGGGGTTGGGGAAATTTGTCACTCTACTGTAACAGCTGCAAATTGGTTGGGAACAACCAAGCTAGGTTGGCAAGGGTGGCCAACTTGGATGGATTGGTTGGGAAGGGACAAATGTCAAAATTGGGGTTCCTATAGGGAGGGAATCTTTGTGCTTATGGGGTTTCCTTGGTTGGGGACTCTCTTGGGACCTTCCCTCTCGTCCCTCTCTTTCTATCCCAACCTTTCTCTTGCTCCTCTAATTTTTCCTTGTGAGATTCTTGAACTTTGATTAAACTTTTGAGATTGAGTTAAGTTCTCCTCCTACAGCTTACCCCCTAGTGCGTCGAAAGCCATAGCGTTGCGAATACTTCATTAATCAACGTGGTTTGAATTGGGAATGGTAGCTGAGCTTAAGAGCTACAACATATCCAAGTTTCGCGACATTCCAACGGCTAGATTTTTGTCGACGTCGTTTCTTGTGAGGACGACTTTTCTGTCCAGAATTTCGGATTTATATTTTGAGTAATTCTAGCTCCTAAGTTCACCTAGACTCCGTCCTTAATCCTAACAAAGCTAAGCAAAGCTAAGCGAAGCTAAGCGAAGAGAAGCGAAGCAAAGCCAAGCGAAGCTAAACGAAGCTAAGCAAAGCTAAGCGAAGCGAAGCGAAGCGAAGCGAAGCTAAGCATAGCGAAGCTAAGTGAAGCAACGCGAAGTTAAGCGAAGCTAAGCGAAGCTAAGCGAAGAGTAGCGAAGAGAAGCCAAGCGAAGCCAAGCGAAGCGAAGCGAAGCAAAGCCAAGCGAAGCTATTTGAAGCTAAGCGAAGCGAACCGAAGCGAAGCGAAGCTAAGCAAAGCGAAGCTAAGCAAAGCAAAGCGAAGTTTAGCGTAGCTAAGCGAAGCAAAGCGAAGCTAAGCGAAGCTAAGCGAAGCTAAGCAAAGCGAAGCAAAGCTAAGCGATGCTAAGCGAAGCGAAGCAAAGAGAAGCGAAGCGAAGCCAAGCGAAGCTAAGCGAAGCTTAGCGAAGAGAAGCGAAGCAAAGCCAAGCGAAGCTAAACGAAGCTAAGCAAAGCGAAGCGAAGCTAAGCGAAGCTATGCAAAGCGAAGCTAAGCGAAGCAAAGTGGAGTTAAGCGAAGCTAAGCGAAGCTAAGCGATGCTAAGCGAAGCGAACCGAAGAGAAGCGAAGACAGGCAAAGCGAAGCTAAGCGAAGCTTAGAGAAGTGAAGCGAAGCAAAGCAAAGCGAAGCAAAGCGAAGCGAAGCGAAGCTAAGCGAAGCAAAGCGGAGAGAAGCATAGAGAAGCGAAGCAAAAAGAAGCGAAGCGAAAAGAAGCGAAGCTAAGAAAAGCAAAGCAAAGCTAAGCGCAGGTATGGGAAGCGAAGCGAAGCGAAGCTAAGGGTAGCGAACCGAAGCTAAGGGAAGCGAAGCGAAGCTAAGCGAAGCTAGGCGAAGCTAAGCGAAGCTAAGCGAAGAGAAGCGAAGAGAGGCAAAGCGAAGCGTAGCTAAGCAAAGCTAAGAGAATCGAAGCGAAGCGAAGCTAAGCGAAGTGAAGCATAGAGAGCAAAGCGAAAAGAAGCGAAGCTAAGAGAAGCAAAGCGAAGCTGAGCGCAGGTATGCGAAGCGAAGCGAAGCTAAGCGAAGCTAAGCGAAGCTAAGCGAAGCTAAGCGAAGTGAAGCGAAGCGAAGCGAAGCTAAGGGAAGCGAACCGAAGCTATGGGAAGCGAAGCGAAGCTAAGCGAAGCTAAGCGAAGCAAACTGAAGAGAAGCGAAGAGAGGCAAAGCGAAGCTAAACGAAGCTAAGCGAAGCTAAGCAAATCTAAGCGAAGCTAAGCAAAGCGAAGCTAAGCGAAGCTAAGCAAAGCTAAGCGAAGCTAAGCGAAGCTAAGCGAAGCTAAGCGAAGCGAAGTGAAGCTAAGCGAAGCTAAGCGCAGCTAAGCGAGCGAAGCGAAGCTAAGCGAAGCGAAGCGAAGCAAAGTGAAACGAAGCAAAGCTTAGCGAAGCGAAGCGAACCAAAGCTAAGCAAAGCTAGGCGAAGCTAGGCAATGCGAAGCGAAGCTAAGAGAAGCTAAGCGAAGCAAAGTGAAGCTAAGCGAAGCGAAGCCAAGCTAAGCAAAGCGAGGCTAAGCGAAGCGAACAGGAAGCTAAGCGAAGCGAAGCAAAGCTAATCGAAGCGAAGATAAGTGAAGCGAACATGAAGCTAAGCGAAGCTAAGCGAAGCGAAGCGAAGCTAAGCGAAGCAAAGTGAAGAGAAGCTAAGCGAAGCGAAGGGAAGCTAAGCGAATCTAAGCAAAGCTAAGCGAAGCAAAGCGAAGCTCAGCGAAGCGAAGCGAAGAGAAGTAAAGAGAAGCGTAGCAAAGAGAAGCCAAACTAAGAGAAGCAAAACGAAGCAAAGCGCAGCTATGCGAAGCGAAGCGAAGCTAAGCGAAGCGAAGCTAAGCAAAGCTAAGCGAAGCAAAGCGAAGCGAAGTGAAGCTAAGGGAAGCGAATCGAAGCTAAGGGAAGCGAAGCTAAGCGAAGCTAAGCGAAGCGAAGCTAAGCGAAGCGAAGCAAAGCTAAGCGAATCGAAGCAAAGCCAAGCGAATCTAAGCGAAGCTAAGCGAGGCAAAGCGAAGCGAAGCGAAGCAAAGCCAAGCGAAGCTAATCGAAGCGAAGAGAAGCGAAGCTAAGCAAAGAGAAGCTAAGTGAAGCAAAGCGAAGTTAAGCGAAGCAAAGCGAAGCTAAGCGAAGCAAAGCTAAGCGAAAGCGAAGCGAAGCTAAGCGAAGTGAAGCGAAGCGAAGCGAAGCTAAGCAAAGCGAAGCAAAGCTAAGCGAAGCTAAGCGAAGCTAAGCGAAGCGAAGCGAAGAGAAGCGAAGAGAGGCAAAGCGAAGCTAAACGAAGCGTAGCTAAGCGAAGCTAAGAGAAGCAAAGCGAAGAGAAGCGGAGCGAAGCTAAGCGAAGCGAAGCGAAGCGAAGCTAAACGAAGCGAAGCGAAGCGAAGCTAAGCGAAGCGAAGCGAAGAGAAGCGAAGAGAGGCAAAGCGAAGCTAAACGAAGCGTAGCTAAGCGAAGCTAAGAGAAGCGAAGCGAGGCGAAGCTAAGCGAAGCGAAGCTAAGCGAGGCGAAGCAAAGAGAAGCGAAGAAAGGCAAAGCGAAGCTAAGCGAAGCAAAGCTAAGCAAAGCTAAGAGAAGGGAAGCGAAGCTAAGCGAAGTGAAGCGAAGCGAAGCTAAGCGAAGCGAAGCTAAGTGAAGCTTTGCGAAGCTAAGTGAAGCGAAGCGAAGAGAAGCGAAGAGAAGCGAAGCGAAGCTAAGCGAAGCTAAGAGAAACGAGGCGAAGCTAAGCGAAGCAAGGCGAAGCTAAGCGAAGCTAAGGGAAGCGAAGCAAAGCGAAGAGAAGCGAAGAGAAGCGAACCAAAGCTAAGCGCAGCTATGCAAAGTGAAGCAAAGCAAAGGGAAGCGAAGCAAAGCAAAGCTAAGCGAAGCGAAGCGAAGCTAAGCGAAGCGAAGCAAAGCGAAGAGAAGCGAAGCGAAGCGAAGCGAAGCAAAGTGAAGCGAAGCGAAGCGAAGAGAAGCATAGAGAAGCGAAGCGAAGAGAAGCGAAGCTAAGAGAATCAAAGCGAA